GGGCAGGAGGAACAGTGGTGGTAGGTTGAGGAGCAGGGGCACAGTGGGTATCAGTGGGCACAGTGGGTAGCTGGGGGCACAGGGGCACAGTGGGTAGCTGGGGGGGCAGGGGGCACAGTGGTGGTAGCTGGGGAACAGGGGCACAGTGAGTAGTGGGGCCCAGAGTGGATAGCTGGGGAGCAGGGGCACCGTGGGTAGCAGGGGGCACAGTGGGTAGCTGGGTGCAAAGTGGATAGCGGGGGGAGCAGGGGCACAATGGGTAGCTGGGAGAGCAGGGGGCACAGTGGGTAGCTGGGGGCAGGGCCGCCATCAGAAATTGTGGGGCCCCTAACACAGTTCAAGGTCTGGGCCCCCGGGTGCCCACCTCCAAGCCCTGCCTCCAAATCCTGCCCACAGGAATACACACACACAGACACAAAAGGACACAGACACACACACAGAAAGATACACACATACTAACACAAATACTGAAACAGACAAACACACATATAGACACATACACAGATACAGATACACACACACATACTGACAAACACACACACTGACGTACATACATACTCACATACTGACACACACACACATACATACAGACATACATACATACATACTGACAAACAGACATACATTCAAACCGACATACAAACAGACATACATACACATAAATACATACTGACATACACACATACATACTGACATACATACATACATACACATACATACTGATATACATACAGACAGACATACACGCACACACACACACACAGATAGATATATACATACACAGATACATACAGACATACTGACATACACAACAACCGTCATGGTTGTCCCCCCCTGATGGCAGCCATGGCTGGGGGAGCAGGGGGCTGAGTTGGTAGCAGGGGGAGCAGGGAGCACAGTGGTGGAGGGTTCTTTTTCCTGCTTCTCCTCACTTACCAGGCAGGGTGTTTGGCTGCATTTAGCTCCGCCCCTGACTGCCATTTAGCTCCATCCTCTCTGCCTTTACTGACAGACCCGAGTGGAGGATAATGAAATCCACCACCCGGGTGCCGCGCATCCACACTACAAAGTGAGGCCAGCAATATAGGGGAGTGCTCTGAGCACCCCTCACACCTGTCACTCAGGGCATGTGTGAGCTGTGTCAGCTGCATGGTGCCCCCTACTGCCATGGCACCCTGTTCAGCCGCACACCCCTAAGGCCGGCCCTGCTGGCACTTCTCAGTTGATTCTATGCATTAACGTCTTAAAGAAATTGTAATATTAGCCTAAAAGAACTATTAATCACCCAGCAATGGCTCCTTCAGAAGACACTTCTAGCCCAGGCAACCTGAAATCAGAACAACCAGTTGCCTAGTCATGCAGGACAGTGCGCTGGGTAAAAAGGAAAGTTCAAGCCGGGTTAGCAATTCTACCGCAGACATGGGATCAGGGTGCTATTTTGCCAAGCTATGCAGAGATACCAAATGTTATTACTGTTTTTCTTGATATTTTTGGGGATATTCATGCACCTGGATGTCTGAAGGTTGATTAGATTAGCGGTACTTGATCTGATCATCTCCTAGGCACAGAGGCGCCTGGGTGGGGTCTCTATTGTTGAGTTAACGACCCCCTCTGGGGGTCTGTGTATAAAAGTGTGTGTAAAACCTAATAAAGTGTTTGTGTTTTCAAGTCTCAATTCATGTTTGGGTGGCTGCTATAATTCACAAGTTACTTTATGGGAATAGGAGAGAGGTTCTTCTGGAGGTACTCTGATCAGGTATTGGAGCTCCACCACAAACTTCACCCTTTGATGTCATCAAGTGGAGAGATGGAGTTAAAAATGTATGAAATATGCAAACTGATGTAATTATTCGAAGCATCAACGGGGAGGCTATTCCAGGGGTGTCTTTGCATCATAACCAATTCATGGAGTTAAAATTGTCTTGGTGCTCAGAGTGACCCACATCTATAGCACTTTTTTCCCCAAATATTAGAAACCTTTCACAATAACCGCATGTAAGCAGTTTAGAAAACTCCACCTGAATGTTTGTAGCACTTTTGCTTAATTCCGAAGAAAAAAATTATTTTTCTAATACGTGATTTTTCTCTCCACTGCCAGATAACAGCTTTGTAAAATCTGAAACTTGATACTAAAATAATAAGCTTGTAAAAGACCTTTTTACCTACCATTAGAAACATGTGATTGTAGGAATGAAATTAAGGTTACAGGCAAGATGCCATGAGAAATTATCCAGCAGGTTTGAAGGAGCATTGAAGAGGTGTAATTTGTGTAGAATTCTAAATGAAGAGATGGTTGCCAGGGAAAAAAGTATAAATGGATGAATCTCTGCAAATTATACATAAATGATGTCGGAAAATTGAAAATATAATATATGTATGCGTGTTACAGAACTGTTTATTTAGCTGTAACACTCTTAACATTCTCTTTAGGTGAATAACCTATTATTTTAGAGAAAAACGGACACCTATGCTATCTGGATATTATCTGCATTAACATTAATGGATCATATTAACAGTTTCTTTCTTTTCTCGATTATAAAACACATTTTCAATAGGCATCACAATATAGTTCAAGCTTTCTTTGATAGATTGTGATTACTCTTTTTTCAGTTTATAGTGTAACAAGTGAAAATAACTAATTACGTAAGATTCAATAATGCAATTTTATAAAATTGATTTTATTTCAAAACATTTTTCCTTTCACTAGTCTGTTTGTATATTGCATGTCTTATAACCATCCTGCTATATGGGGGAACTCGAAGAACCATAAACTATGGTTTACTGTAGTGTCGATGGTAAAAAAAAAAAAAAAGACTCTCTAAATCCTTTGGTTTTTATAAAATAGTTTTTCAAGTATTTGAAAAAAACAAAACATATATCTCCCCAGTACTTGGCACCGTGTGTCACAGGGAATCTGTTTAAATTTGGAGGTGCCAAATGAAATAATAGTCAAATCAGCAAATCCACACAAAAGTCTTGGTTGGATAATGGCAAGATTAAATTTTTTTTTTTGTATTCTTTATTTTTTTTATGCAGATAGGTACATTGGAGGGTCAGACGCCACAACAGCGTACACGTCGTATACATGTTGTTGATTGCAGGTTAATTAGCTATTGTTTGCAAATAAGCAGAGGCCTACCCAGGTGTTAAACATTACTAGTGGGCGGTGATTTTAGGAGTTATATAAGGCCTGGTTCCATTAGCTTGTCTAATATAGCTTGGTGCTACTTCTAAGTGCTGTTTCTAAGTGTGTAGCTGGAGATATTCTGGAGAGTTTTACAGAAGCTTCAACTGTCTAAGAGTTGTGCTAAGAGCTTTCTTTTCTACTGTTACAGGTAAGATTCATCTGTAGGAAAAGGTTACTGATTGCCCAAGGTTTGAATTCCTGTTGGTAATTATAAGGCATTTGATTTGATTAAGCTAGTTACTTGCTGTTGATTGCTGGTTAATTAGCTATTGTTTGCAAATAAGCAGAGGCCTACCCAGGTGTTAATCATTCCTAGTGGGCGGTGATTTTAGGAGTTATATAAGGCCTGGTTCCATTAGCTTGTCTAATATAGCTTGGTGCTACTTCCAAGTGCTGTTTCTAAGTGTGTAGTTGGAGATATTCTGGAGAGTTTTACAGAAGCTTCAACTGTCTAAGAGTTGTGCTAAGAGCTTTCTTTTCTACTGTTACAGGTAAGATTCATCTGTAGGAAAAGGTTACTGATTGCCCAAGGTTTGAATTCCTGTTGGTAATTATAAGGCATTTGATTTGATTAAGCTAGTTACTTGCTGTTGATTGCTGGTTAATTAGCTATTGTTTGCAAATAAGCAGAGGCCTACCCAGGTGTTAAACATTCCTAGTGGGCGGTGATTTTAGGAGTTATATAAGGCCTGGTTCCATTAGCTTGTCTAATATAGCTTGGTGCTACTTCTAAGTGCTGTTTCTAAGTCTGTAGTTGGAGATATTCTGGAGAGTGCTGTTTCTAAGTGTGTAGTTGGAGATATTCTGGAGAGTGCTGTTTCTAAGTGTGTAGTTGGAGATATTCTGGAGAGTGCTGTTTCTAAGTGTGTAGTTGGAGATATTCTGGAGAGTGCTGTTTCTAAGTGTGTAGTTGGAAATATTCTGGAGAGTGCTGTTTCTAAGTGTGTAGTTGGAGATATTCTGGAGATAACCTGGAGGTAATCTGAGGTATTCAGGAGGATAAAGAAAAAAGTTAAGATTTGTTAGATTTAAATTATTCTTATAATTGGAATGGCAGGCTTAGTTCAGTGTAACAATTGCTATGCATTTGTTTCACGTTCCACTTTTTGGAGGTTTGGTTGTTGTCTAATCTGTAGACAGTTCTCTATCTTGCGGCAGGAGATTGTATTTTTTGAAGTCTGAGATTTGTAAATTATCTGGTGAAGAAACTCAGACTGGAACTGCTGCAAAGCCACTGCCGCAGAGACATGCTAGGAAAGACAGATGGATTACTGTAGGATCTGGTAGACTTAGAGTTGTGGATAAAAGGCATTTTGCACAGTCTGTTGCTCTTCATAATTCATTTTCTGCACTTTCAGAGTGTAATGGTGTTGTGGAGAGAGGCACTGAGGCTAGTGGTGTTGTGGAGAGAGGCACTAAGACTAGTGGTGTTGTGGAGAGAGGCACTAAGACTAGTGGTGTTGTGGAGAGAGGCACTAAGACTAGTGGTGTTGTGGAGAGAGGCACTAAGACTAGTGGTGTTGTGGAGAGAGGCACTAAGACTAGTGGTGTTGTAGAGAGAGGCACTGAGGCTAGTGGTGTTGTGGAGAGAGGCACTGAGACTAGTGGTGTTGTGGAGACCGGCTTGGAGACTATGGTGAGGCCTAATAGAAAGCAGTTGTATGTATGTGAAGGATAGCATAAAATCTAGCCTAATAAAAGTTAGTGAGGCAAACATAGAGTCCGTTTGGGCTACGTTAGAATTTTTAATCACACAGTAACTCGTGTAGGTGTGATTTATAGGCCCCCTGGAGAAATTGAAGAGTTAGATAATCTACTAGTTGAGGAAATAGCTAAAATGACAATGAAGGGGGAAGTTATCATCATGGGTGACTTTAATCTTCCTGATGTAAATTGGAAAACAAAATTAGCTACTTGTGCCAGGGGCACACATATTCTAAACTCCCTACTGGGATTGTCTCTAAAACAAGTTGTTGAGGAGCCAACTCGTAAAGAGGCCATGCTAGATTTAGTGTTAACAAATGGAGATTTGGTATCAGATATTACTGTAGGTGAAAGTTTGGGATCCAGTGATCATCAGTCAGTGTGGTTTAATATAAGAACAGTGACTGAGTCACACCACACAAAAGCAAAAGTTTTAGACTTTAGAAAAACAGACTTTTCTAAAATTAGAATATGGGTAGAGGAGTCATTATCAGACTGGAGCAATTTAAATGGAGTCCAAGAAAAATGGGATTATTTAAAAGTTGCACTATTGAAGGCAACAGAAAATTGCATTAGGCTTGTCAGTAAAAGCAAAATTCAAGAAACCACTGTGGTACTCCGCAGATGTGGCCAAAATAGTTAAAAACAAAAAGTTAGCATTTAGGAATTATAAAAAACCCAGAGTGAGGAAGACAAAATGATCTATAAGATTAGGCAGAAAGAGGCTAAGCAAGTTATAAGAGCTTCCAAATCACACACAGAAGAGAAAATAGCACAGTCAGTAAAAAAGGGGGATAAAACATTTTTTTAGATACATAAATGAGAAAAGAAAAGTAAAACAAGGATTAGTTAGATTAAAACAAAAGAAGGAAGGTATGTAGAAGAGGATAAAGGTCTAGCTGACTGCCTCAATGAATATTTTTGTTCTGTATTTACAGATGAAAATGAAGGAAAGGGACCTCAGTTAAGAAAAAGGATAAATGAGTCATTTATTACACGTGAGTTTACAGAGGAAGAGGTTCTATTTCAACTGTCAAAAGTAAAGACAAATAAGTCAATGGGACCTGATGGAATACACCCAAAGCTATTAAAAGAGCTTAGTGGTGTACTAGCAAAACCATTAACAGATTTATTTAACCAATCATTGTTAACAGGAGTAGTCCCAGAAGATTGGAAGTTAGCGAATGTTGTGCCCATTTACAAGAAAGGTAATAGGGAGGAGTAGGGCAACTATAGGCCAGTAAGCCTTACTTCAGTAGTGGGGAAAGTGATGGAAACCATGTTAAAGGATAGGATTGATGAACATCTAAAAACACATGGATTTCAAGATCAGAGACAACATGGGTTTACTTCAGGGAGATCATGCCAAACTAATCTTATTGATTTTTTTGATTGGGTAACTAAAATTATAGATCAGGGTGGTGCAGTAGACATTGCTTACCTAGATTTCAGTAAGGCTTTTGACACTGTTGCACATAGAAGGCTTATCAATAAACTGCAATCTTTAAGTTTGGATTCCAATATTGTTGAATGGGTAAGGCAGTGGCTGAGTGACAGGCAACAGAGGGTTGTAGTTAATGGAATATATTTGAAGCTTGGACTTGTCACCAGTGGGGTACCTCAGGGATCTGTACTTGGACCCATTCTCTTTAATATTTTTATTAGTGATATTGCAGAAGGTCTTGATGGTAAGGTATGTCTTTTTACTGATGATACTAAGATATGTAACAGGGTTGATGTTCCAGGAGGGATAAGCCAAATGACAAATGATTTAGGTAAACTAGAAAAATGGTCAGAATTGTGGCAACTGACATTTAATGTGGATAAGTGCAAGATAATGCATCTTGGACGTAAAAACCCAAGGGCAGAGTACAGAATATTTGATAGAGTTCTAACCTCAACATATGAGGAAAGGGATTTAGGGGTGATTATTTCTGATGACTTAAAGGTAGGCAGACAATGTAATAGAGCAGCAGGAAATGCTAGCAGAATGCTTGGTTGTATAGGGAGAGGTATTAGCAGTAGAAAGAGGGAAGTGCTCATGACATTATACAGAACACTGGTGAGACCTCACTTGGAGTATTGTACACAGTACTGGAGACCGTATCTTCAGAAGGATATTGATACCTTAGAGAGGGTTCAGAGAAGGGCTACTAAACTGGTTCATGGATTGCGGGATAAAACTTACCAGGAAAGGTTAAAGGATCTTAACATGTATAGCTTGGAGGAAAGACGAGACAGGGGGGATATGATAGAAACATTTAAATATATAAAGGGAATCAACACAGTAAAGGAGGAGACTATATTTAAAAGAAGAAAAACTACCAAAACAAGAGGACATAGTCTTAAATTAGAGGGACAAAGGTTTAAAAATAATATCAGGAAGTATTACTTTACTGAGAGGGTAGTGGATGCATGGAATAGCCTTCCAGCTGAAGTGGTAGAGGTTAACACAGTAAAGGAGTTTAAGCATGCGTGGGATAGGCATAAGGCTATCCTAACTATAAGATAAGGCTAGGGACTAATGAAAGTATTTAGAAAATTGGGCAGACTAGATGGGCCGAATGGTTCTTATCTGCCGTCACATTCTATGTTTCTATGTTTCTATGTTTCATGTTTAACAGTGGCATGAGTATATGCACATTTTTGTTTTGTGGTACATAAATATAAACAGGCTTAGCGTAACGTATAAGTATTTACGATAAAGTGTAGTACACCTATAAGGGGCAAGATTACATTTTTAATTACCCTTTCGGCAGCAGAGGGAACTAGTTTATTGTTCCAAAGAGGCCCAATGTTTTCTCAAACTGCTTGAAAATAGTTTAGAAAAAAAGAAGGATGGTACCCAGAGTCTCCTTGCATCAAAACCACTGTATAAGCTGCAGAGTTTCTTGAAATTAAAATTTTCCTTTAAATGGACTTGTCCTGGTGGTATGCTTTGGCTCATTGATTCTGCACAATATGGATATACATACATACATACATGCAAAATGGCACCCATACAATTGGTTAATCAATGGTTATCAGTTAATGATCCCACTAAGTATGCACGTATAATTGGTTGACTCATCCTTGTCAGAGCCCAGGACACCAAAAATGGCCACTTAGAGTATTGATTGCTATGATGCTGATGTATGGTGCTTTCTAGGTCAAAACCTCATCCAGATGATTTATCCATCCTGCATATTTGTTGATTTTGAGAGTGGCAGATTTCCAAACCACCAAGCTCCACAAAACACTGATAAAGGTGTAATAAATATCTGAGTAAAACAATCTAAATCCAATGTAAACACATCAGAAATTGCCAAGTAACATCTTGCCAAAATCTCACTGTAGTTTAAAACGGGACATAAGGCAATGAAATGCAGGTAATGTCTATGTTAACTCAAGGTTTGCCAGAACTTTAGGGCCATAACGGAGGCCTCTGCACTATCAGGGTTATTAACGTCAGTCCTCATACAATCCATATTAGCAACATTATGTTCAAATTGCCAGATTTCCCCATGAATTGCAAATTGCATACTTACTAAAGGTAATTTAGGGATAAATTCTGTGAATTGCACTGAATGTGCATGTCTGGCGAGCAACAATTTGGTGTTTCTGCTAAAAAAACAATCTGGTGAACAGGTTTATTAATATTATTGTCCCCTCAGCCCCCAAGCCCCTATCTTCTGCTTATGGGTGGGGCTTGGGGGCTGAGGGGACAATAGGTTCCTCTATTTATTATTATAACCCCACCCACTGGCCAAACACATTATGCCTCCCAAGATATTATTTTATTTAGAGGTCCACAGTGTGGACAGTGATCTGTGCACCGCCCGTTCTTTATTTTACAGCCCCCACCCGATGCCAATGTTACTTGCAACTGTCTAGCTATGGTGGCCCAGCTGCTACTTGCTGGCCAACTGGCTATTTGCTGTTTAGCGTGCATGGCAAGTGGAGATATGGGGGTGGTTCAAAACCTCCTTTTTACTAATATTGGGCTCATATTGACCACTATAGGTTTTTATTTCATTTTTAGCCCTCTTAGTCATTATGAAAGGCAATACATGTGCATCCGAAGCACATTTATCAGACAATATTTCTTAAACAGCTGACATGTTTATTGGGTTCAACTGTTAGAATTCCAGCTGGCATTAAACCCAGAAGAAATTTTTTTTAAGTATCTTCCAAAGCCTATAAATATTTATCGACTGTTTCTAGTGGATCGAATGGAATCATGGCCATAATAAAGTAGTAATGTAAAGAGGAGACATATTCCATTTACATGAACTACTTGATGGGCAATGTTTTACTTTGGTTTGAGGTTATCTTAAGGACAGTTTGGTTTTATCAGCTTTTAAACTTTTTCTTAATTATAAGGAAGCCTAAGAACTTTTATTTGACATTGCAAAAAAAAATGAGTATCACGTCATAACATCTTATATGAATATTATTTGGAGTTAGAGTTTAATTTTCTTCTAAAATTTATTGAATATTTTATAAATCCCGGTGCATTTCTTGCAGTTTTATATGAGGTGTGAATTTTCTTTATTTCAGATCATAAAAAATACTAAATAGGGCAAAGTATCAGAGATACATTTTCACACATCTCAAAGAAGAAGCATATTTAAAAATGATCTAAAGAAAAAAATCCAAAATTATGTCCAGATATAGACAAATAAAACAAATTGGACAAACTAACCAAACCAGAATTGTTTTATGGGTCTGGAATCTTACTCACAGAATCATTTGATAGGGGTTATAATTAGGGCTGCCTTTCATTATGTTGATTGGCAGCACATGAAAAAGCAGCCCTGGATTATGAATAATCTTAATCTATATGTTGCAGGATTCCTGATTGATTTATCACCTGATTTACTACCTGCAGCATTTGACTTTTTCATCGTGCAGGGCAGCACTTTCTCTGTGATGCAAATCAATTTGTATAACGGATATGTGTCCCAGAAAACATTGTAAATATAGTATACCAAGTTATAATGAGTACATTTAATGAATTATTGTCATATTTATCAAAACATTATCATCATAATTCTTATTGTGCCAACAAATTCCTAACAGTAGATCCTGTCGGTAAAATGCATTAATAGACTTTATTTGGTAGATAAATGATAATAATTAAAACTTAATTGACTATTAACAGTGACTTGTAGTGAATTGTAAGCCAAATTGTAAAATATTGGCCACAATTCCTGAATAATTGAATTTGGCTTTCAAGTCAACACAATTTGTTGTTTAATGAATGACCCCTTATATTTTAAAGACACTACTCAAAATATGCAACATTGGACATTTACCGTATATACTCGAGTATAAGTCGAGTTTTTCAGCACATTTTTTGTGGAGGAGAAGGGAGCTGACCGGAACCCAGGAGAAGGGAGCTGACAGGAGCTGCAGGAAAGGTAAGTTACAGCT